TATAGTCAGTAATCAAAATTGTAAACTGTTCAAGCTTAAGATATTCAAGTCTAGAAATTGCTCGAAAAAGGTAAGGCCTCGTTAATCCTTAGCTCACACAAGGTTCGACTTATGAGGGTTGTCGTTCGTAAGGGGGTGTCAGCTGGTTAACGGAAAACAAATTTTTACTGACAGTTATCCATCATCAGCATTCCTGATATTTATATTATCTCCAGTTATCATTTGTATATAGATCTGTAATTTTCTGTTAGCAAAACTTTCGATGAAATCACTTATTTTATTGGAAGGAGGTTTATAAATTGCTGTCAGTTGAATTTGTTTCAAACCGTATAGAAAAAATGTTAATTGTATTGCCTCACCAAAGTCACTCTTTACTAATTCATGTTTATTTTGGGTTGAACTTTTTATGTGAATTGAAACGGCATCGTTATGATTGAATTGTCCATAGATATAGATTGAATCAAATCCTTCAGTAAAATATGATGACAGATCCACTACCCACCATGTTTCCGTTAAGACAATTATGTCGAAACTGATTGCGAGCTTATCTAATTTAATCGGAAATTGACCTAATTTCTGCGCAAATTTCGTATATTCATGTGAAATATCAGAAAATAATACTTTATTGAGTTTCGTGCTATCCTCAACCAATAATGACCTCACAGATTCAACGCAAAAAATTTCAAATTCGGATCCAATAATTATTCTAATTTGAAATACTTACGAAACTTGTTGAATTAGAAGAAAATGATTCCTGAAATTAGTAAAGGTGAATACAATCTGCTATTGTTTTGCTCACGAAGAGTATTCAAGAAGAACCCCAAATATTCGGAACAATCCTCTTGTCCTAACGAGTATCTAGTGGACTTCAAAGAATCCAGGAAATCGGTTGGAGGAAAAGATGATACATTCTTACGAAACTGCAGCTACATGAACAGGTGTTTGAGTGTGGTGAATCAGTAGGAAACATTCTCGTTCTCGTTCATCATTAAAACCTCGTTCTTGAAATACTTCGTCATGAACAGCACTTGTAAAATGATATTCATGTAGCAAGTGTTTCCAAAATTATCTAATCCAATTTTCTTATCAAGGTTTTCAGGACAACTCTCTATTGATTCGTAAGGAAAAACATGTTTCACATAATCTGCATAAGAACCATTTCTCAAGCTGCGTTCAATCCTTCCCAGTGATGAAGGGTTTCTTAGAGGGATCAATTCGGCTCTTGCTTCATGAAGCTCTTCCACTGAAAGGGAACCAGAACCACGAGGTCTGCAACTCATATTTGGGGGAAGATAGGAGGAAGGTTCTAATTGAAAAATATACTTCGGCGCCAAAAAACTGATAATATTTCGTACTTTCAGATTTTGCAATTTCTGAATCGTGTTGTAGATGTTCGTTAAATAATTTATAATTTGGTTCAGTTCAGAACTAGGTATCATCAAGTTATTCAAAGGGGAAACAAAATTGGAAAGTGGCCGAAAGATAGGTTGTGAAATTCGATCTGTAATCGATTAGTGTTTTAAATGCCGTAAAAATATATAAGGCACTGTTCACATTTACCTCTGTGAGTACTGAATTTGAGCCTGTCCCTATAACTTTCGAACTTAGCCCTAGAAAATTTGCCTCTGTTAAACAAAAATCTGTTTAAAATCTGTTGTTCCGTTACAGAGCTATCGCACCCCTACGAACGACAACCCTCTGAAGTCTAAACTTGTGCGAGCTGAGGATTTACGAGGTCTTACCTTTTAACGTGTTATTCCTAACACATGTGATTTCTAATCTAAAGATTAGATCACCACGAGATAATGAGTAAACAATAAAATGTTTTCTCAATGCCTATGCATGTCACAAAAAGGACAAACAGTACATGTATGTTATCATTTCTATGGATTTTTATATCCATTTTTATATTGTAGCCCTCGATAAATCTTATAAACGTAACTTCTAGCTCGGGTACCGTTTTTATTACACCAGACCGGATTTTCGAAAAACATAAATTGTTCAGTAAACCATTTTCAGAGATCTAAAAATATCAAAGGAATAGAAAATTTAACTCAGAATCGATTAACCAATCAGCAATTTTTTAATTTTTTTCATGGCACCTTGTAGAGATCGCCTTGAATAGTGAGACTTGTCAACAATACTGTAGTATAGATCACTTGATTAATTGACATTTTTAATTTTTTTTTCAGAGATCATGGATAGAAGCAATTCATCTTCGATTCAAGATGTCATCCAGGATGAAAATCTTCATTATACTCACATTAGTTCTGGATTATCAAAACTATCTCCAATCAGCCAAGCTCCTTTACATGGAGAAGTGATTACTCGATCACACAGTAATAACACAAGCCAGAACAATGAATGTTCTAAGTCAGTGGTCAGCGAATCGTCTAATTTTTTCACATATTCCAATACTGGCCTAGTTAATTTACCAAACGAATATAAACCAGAGTTGGCCCTGGAAACTCTTGAAAGAAATTATAATTTTTTCTCGAAAACATTTCCATATATAACTTCAAAAACAACCGAAGGTGTTTGTTTAAATAATGAAGTTCAAGAAAATCTCAGTGATGATATTACTCAGCATTCATTCTTAGAGTACAGGATATTGAGAAATGAGAAATTTCATATTGTTTCAAGTTGTCAACACTCCAGTGATAAAAAAACTGTAAGCAATGGATTTGGCAAAGCAACTCTTCATAATTTTGCTGAAATAATAACATTAAAACGAATTAGAGAAATGAAAGTATTAGGTTGTCTTATCATTGAAATGTTCATGGCAAAACAACTAAGGGTATTAGGAGCAAATATTTTCAACTTCAACCTTGACAAACGCGTTGAAAATTGTTTGGCAGTTATTGAGAGTTTTACCCTCCCACCTTGCATTTCCCACATTGTCAATTTGCTTTTACAACCTAATATATTGAACTCAAAGAAATACAAATATCCAGTGATCACTGATATAGGATTACCCCCACCTAGAGCTAACCTACTCTTAGATCCTCTCTTACATTGTGTCATTCCTTTTTCAAAACATTTTTCATTGTTGTATAAAATACTCAACAATCTGAAAAACTTCAAAAATGTATCGATGGAATTAAATATTCTCTATTATTATGATTGCAATGGGCAAATGTGTTCTGAATACGAGCCTTTAGAAAAATCAAAAATTTCTATATCTCAAAGTCTTGCGGAATGTGAAATAAAATCTTCTATCAAAAATTTAGAAAACTTATTCAACGAAATAAATTCAAAAACTGACGTTGAGGTTATCAGTATTCTCGTACCACATATTATTGATTTAATGGAAGATTCTTCAACTTCGGTATTGGCTGCTTGGTATTTATTTGAACCTCTTTCGAGTGTATTAGGTCCAAACAAATCATCTCAATATTTTCTTGGCCCACTCTTGAAACTTTATGAAAATGATCCAAATGCTGTTTACTTTCAGAATGGAGTAAAAATAGCTAAAATTTATCATCATAGTTTTCTACTTAGTTTGATGGTTCGACTTGGTTTGAAGTGTTTTCTAGAAAATTTTATAGTCCCGCTAGTTGAAGCTGTTGGAGGTTATAAAGACTGTGAACTTGTTGAATTTCTTTTACATAATCATTCCGAAAAAAAAATCATTAAAGCTTTTGATCTCAAAAGGGTGGATTCAGAACAAATGGATATTTTAGATAGTGATGATTCAACATCGAGCGATAAGCAAGAAATATTATCCGGAAGATTACAGGAAAGTTCTTCGAATGAAGAAATATTTGAATTTGAAGATGAAAAAAATATAGACCAGGAGAAGTTTTCTCCAGAACATTTGCAGTCAAATGTAGCATCCAAATTTTCTTTCAATAATTTCAATATAGAAGAGGATTTGGGAGATTTTAAAAATTTGGAAAAAGCAAATTCCCAATCTGGTGAATTTTTTGTTTCACGTTCTCACTTGAAACCGCCCAAGTCTCCAAGATATTACAGTAATATGTTTTTACGCAGCCAGAGCGATGACACAATTAACGCAGATTTCTCAAACTCTGAATCTGAAAAAGATGTAGAAAACCCTGGGAATAAAGTATCTGAAATGAGTGCAGACAGTGTGATTTGGTTATCCCATCGACTTGGACCTCTGTTAACAGCTAAATATTTATCAAAAAACTTGCTGAAAATATTGGCTCTGTGTTATATGGGAGAGGACAATTTAGCGAGCCGTATACCTGCAGATTTAACAAAGTTTGAGAATTCAATAGCCTCCAGTTATGTTGTAGGTGATATTGCTGCCGTTAAAATTGTCAGTTGCCTCACCAGTATTTCAGGTAAGATATGCCACACTTATTCATCTAAATTCATAAATGTTTTGCATATAGTAATCCATTTATGAAGAGTAGTGAAACTTCTCATATACTCACACAGATAAACTTATATAGACACATACAGGGCTTTCCAACAAAGAGTTTCCACCCTGAACATTTTCGAAACGAATAAAAATTCAAAAAATCATGTAGATCAGTGACTAAATGTTTTCCTCTCAAAAAGCCATTTCCATTGAAACGTGATCTGGACACTACCACTAAAAATATGATTTGCAGTGTTCTTGTCCTTTCGCATACTGACATTACACGAAGGGCGCGCAAGACTGCAAAAGATACAAAATTTGTTGAAACTCATTTCTCACTATGCTTGCCTTTTCAACAAAATCTGGACTACTGGCCTAAAATAGCTTGCCTCAAAAATAGTTGGAAAGGAGGACATTCATAACAGATCAATAGAGGAACATAAATGGCAGATTAACTATTCCGGTTCATCGTACTTCAGTTTTTGAGGTAACTATTGGACAATTCATCACTTTGAAATCTCATTTGTTCATCAATTCCACTAATAACCTTCCGAAGGTATTAGAAAAGACTGACACTTAAATTGTTCAACAAAAATGTTTTATACATTATGTGCTCTGTGTATCCAAGGTACTAAAGGTATAATATATTAACACTTGACAAAGTTCGTAATATTTTATGCTCAATTTGTCCTATCTCTTGAGGTTGAACGAAAAAAACTTATACCACTTTCACAGTTTTTTCATAATCATAATCTTTATATATGTTCAAATTTTCTTACACTCCACCTTCAAGTACTCTTTTCCTGAAATCATTGAAGTAGGACGTGTCTATTCATCCATACTTATATCTTTCAACTTTTACCAGCCTTCATTTTTATTTTATGAAATTGATGTAAGCCTCAAAAATTTATTGGATAACACTGTAACAACAAATTGATCAATACCTTCGAAAAAATCGTTTGACATGGATACCTGAATCAAGCTGTAACCGAAAAATGTATGTTTCTATTACAGCTTTCTCACACCAACATTCAATGATTTTTCTTCTACTATGTACGTTCAAAGCCTCCATAATTTCTATAAACGGGAATATTTTGATTGTGACAACCAATATTTACTCTCTGCCACTTTATCAAAATTTCCACATTTGTGTGTGCGTATCTGTGGTCGTGTGTCTGTGTGTGCGTCTGCGCGCATGTGTTTGCGTGTGTTTCTGCGCGCATGTGTTTGCGTGTGCTTCTGCGCGCATGTTTGAAACGTAACTCTCACCCCATTACTTTTTTAAATCTGTTTTTTTTTAATAGCACCACCCTTTTTTTTGTTAGAAATAGAGTAATATAGCTATAAGAGTTCTATGACATTCTCTATGGAAAAACACGTGCAAATTTGAGAAGGTTCATTTTGGCGATTTTTGGACCTTAGGCCCTGTTCACATAGAATGGAAGAGACAAAGGTCCGCGTCTCGTCTCTGTCAACCGTCCATTCTTTGTGAATTGGGCTTTATACTTTCAGAGCCCACTCCCGCCATACAGTCGACTAATCAGAAGCTACCGCGCTTACGGCGGGAAATTCTAATCAGTATATGAGCAGACTTGTTCCGAGCGCAAAATCCCATGTATTTTCTTATTTAGCTAAACTTTTTGCAATTTTTATGACATCCGATCGGAACCTTGTGAAACACCCAACTCGACGTAGGTGTGTTTGGAAGTGGGAGTGGGAGAGAGAAATGTGTGACGTAATCGATGCAGAGAAAGAAGGAATGAGTATCGGAGATATTCAGTGAGTGTAGCCCCCCTTGAGACTCTGCCTTACCCTTCGGGGCCCCTTGTCGCGCACCAGTCACGTGGTCATCGGCAGCTGAGTGAAATTAAATTAAAAAAACTTATCGGTATGAGAATACAACCCAGGTCGTCGGCGTGGTAGACGTTGTCCTCAGCCTCAACACCAACATTAATAGGGTGATGTAGCAATGCCGGGTTCAAAATTAAGCATGAAGGGTTAGGAATACGACTCGATGAAAATTGTATGGTGATGAGATGACGAGCACTAGGAGGGTCTTACGTTTCAACGTGCATTCCAAAATGTCAGAAGGATACTGAGTCGTATCTTTGTTAACCAGGTTAGCATCATCAGGAGAAGGAGAAGATGACACCCATATGTGTCGAGGAGTTACGTGTTGTGGAGTTAACGTTCGAAAATGGAGCAATAGAGAAAGTGAAGTATTCGGCAATGAAATTTCAAAATACGTTTTGCATGCGTTTCGACCGTTTTGCGTGCGTTTCGGCCGTTCGGCGTGCGTTTATTCGTTATCGTTTCATTGTCATTGTCGTTTTTTCGTGTTTCTATATGACAGTCATCTATCATTTAACGCGTTTTGCTTATCAAGTGAGCATCATCAGGAGATGACTAAAGTCCATTCGTTGTCGTATAAAAGTTCATTTTGCGAATTTTCGGACTCCTGAACGGAACCTTGTGGAACACCCAGCCTAAAATATGATATAGAGTGGTGTCGGTCAGCCAATAAGAATGTAGGTAACAAATATCGGTTGGTTAATTGTGGAAGATGAAATTGAACTAGAGAATGAATAATAATATTGATAAAACATAAAAACGTTGAAGGTGATCATCGGCGTGGGAGGTGGTGGCTGAAACGGTCATTTTGGTCACTTTTACCGCAGCGAAAAAACACATTTTCCAGAAATTTATATGATTCACAATGTAACGTGTCACGAAAAATGGTGCTGAAATGAGCGCATCTTCATCTCATTACGTGTTAGTTTGAAGAAATAATCATCCACGAATGTTGAAATATTTATTTTTGTCGAAAAATTGGAATTGAATTGATCGAAAACAAAAAACCTTTTCTGTAAAGAACAGATATTTTTCGCTCAGGATATTGAGAAAAATAGGAAATCAGTCTTTGTGGTTGAATCATGATGATTCGTAACCACCACGTGAAGGAGCAATATTTTTCCTCTCGAATAGATGAAAATTGCTTGTAGACTGTAATTAGCGTCATGTTAGTTATGAGCGAGAGTTAGTAGAATCGGAAAGGGGATGTTTTTGGAGGTTTCTAACGTAGGAAGGAATTATTCATATATTCAAAAAACAATATACTAGAAATTATTTATTAATATCTAATCATTCCAATAATAGTTCACAATTACATTTTTCAAGTATCGAGAAATTTTGCTGCTATCAAAGTTTTAGAATTTCTATACCTTAAATCTACTTATAAAATGAAGGAGTTATTTGAACATCCATTAGTGATATAAAAATCTTTTCTCAGCTGAACTACAGCCAAATACATATATACTAATAATCATCAAAAGGGGTTAATCGTCAATATCCATAGCATTTGATATTTGAGGGATAGAATAGTGACCCCAAGGAAGCATATCGTGTGAATGTCGAATTATATAAGTTATATCATCTTCAGGGCTGAGAGCAATCTTTTATGGGGCGATGGAATGAACTTGATGTTTATCGGATCGAATCAAATTTTGAGTGACACTCATATTCTTCCAATTATCTAAGTAATTCACATAATCATCGAACGTAATTTTTTTCTTCACCATAGAAGATTTGACCCCATTTGCTTTTTTGGTAACCCTCAAGCATGAGATGATTTGACTGATTTCTTCCTCATTATTAGTTGTACACAATTTCGATCCGAGGCCTACTTAATCAGTAATCGGAACTGCGTTATTATCATCTTTCATCATCGCGAGAACCTTTTTATCCACCAAAGGAACGTTAAACTGATTGTTGGAAGGATAATCCGAAGTATCGAAGAAACTTTGACTATCTTGACGTATGATTTCATAGGGATTCTGATTGTATAATTCATAAATCAGGCTATCTGTATCGGTGTAATTACATAATTATCTCCGAATCGACGGCGCATATAGCCATAATGAAAATCGTATATGGTAGTATTTGCCCAGTCTAAGATAGTCTGTGTTTTCTCGCCCAAATCCAAGAACATCACCTCCCCAAATTTGTCTCTCACGATGTTGGCGGTAAATATCCTTTGCGGCGTCTCCACAGGCAAATCCGCTTCTTTGATAATTGACTTCGTCTTCATGGATGAACTCGCATTCAATTTTTGTAAATCCATCTGCGAAAAAATGAAAATGAAAGCTTTATGTTTCGATTCACAATATATGCGGATATTATCTCAAACAAACCACGCCTGTTTGTCGCATATATACCCCCACCTTACTCACTTCATATAAAAAAGAAATTACCAGCTAGAATTTCAGTTCCTAAGTTTTAGTCTATAAGTCATAATGTATCATTTTAGTGGGTGTGATAAAAGTTTCACTCGGGGAGATAACTTACGTTGTCCTCAGACACAATCTTGTAGCCCAAGTTAGATCTTGTGCCTCCATCTCCGAGTGAGCAGTTGTGTTGCTGTTGTGATAAAATGATACCCGTGAATCGAATGTATTCTCACCTTAAGACAATGGAGTATATAACTTCTGCATGCACTGAGTTGTCTGATGACGTCAAACTTATCAATAGCACATTCAAGTACAGTTGTAAGTGAAACCCATCATCAGTAAACTGAAGCAGGGGATTATTGATTTGATTGAGAGAATGATACTGTAGTGAAACTTAAAAAAGTGTACTTTATGTTCAACTAGGTTTACAAAAAATAGGTAGACAGATAGTGATGAATGAGATAATTATAGCCGATTCAGTTTATGAAATAATGTAAATTTAACAGAGCTGAAAACAGGCAATACATCAATATTTTTGTTTAAAATACCGCTTTTCATGCAACTTAGAGCCTCCAACACTTTAAAGTCATGTACCAAATGAAATTCCTTCAAAAATATCTACGCGTTTCCAGATTTGCTATAATTTTCGTCAAGGTGAAAAACTTGACGAGTTATTTTCGTGCCTTCCAAAACTCATACGTAAATCTATAGCCAAGAGACTTGAATTTTTCAATTCCTGTTCTGTTCAATTGAA